TGGTGCTTTAGGGACTCGGCGTCGTAGCGGGCGTGTTCGTTTGCCACAGCTCTGAAACGTTTTGTAGCGCTGGTATATTCGGGCAGCCTGACAGTTTGGCTGCGGGCTGTCGGAGGCTCTGGTGTGCCTCATTCGTCATACGCATTGCAGCTACTTCCTCAGGTGCCCTAAATCCAGATTCTCCCCTACCTAGCTACAAATCCTTTTGGGCCCCTTCTGATAGCTCTGCTCTAAAGAGGTTTTTTCGTGGTAAATACCATGATGTGGGGATGGGGTGAGGTTATCAGACAAAATAATGCTTCACAGAGACTTTTGTTTTACTATGAATTTTATTTTATGTGAACCTCTTGGGATGGGTTTTTTTTGTGCACTGTACCAGCACAATTAGGGAAAACAATTGTTTGGCTTGTAGTGCAGCATCTAAACACTGTTACAAAGCACAGGAGAATAACTTGGTCCTTTTATTACAGAGAGACTGCAAGAAGATTCCCAGCTGGCTTGCTGCAATCTCCAAGGAAGGCACAACTGAAGGTAGGTATGAAAATGATCCCAGCTGAAACCAGGACAACTCCCGAGAAATTAATACCACATCTTTAATGTGCCTATCATCGCCTTTGACGGTCAGTATCTTCTTCAGTTGTACATGGATTGACTATTTCCTATGTATGTTAACTCCTTTTTTTAAGAATGACTTGTGTTACCATCAGCTGAACAGCGTGTTGCTTCACTGCTTCTCTTGCTAGTATGTGTAAGTGACAACAAGAGGGTCTGTTCGTGTGATTCCACTACCACCTGCCTGAGGTCCTCTGAGAACCTTCTTATCAGACTTTGATCTGGCATCCTTTCTAGTAATGAAGTCAGTCCATTGTGTGTAGACAATAGTCTACAGCTGGCCAGCTGATTGCTGGCACTCAGTCTTAGACAGCAAGTTATTTCATGCTCCTCTTTGTATAGATGAAAGCAGAGGTGTGTCATGACTTCTTCTTTGTAGTCCTAAGATATGCAGAGCAATCAGGCAGCAGAGAGTAGCAATCTTTTCGTTTTCTTGAATTTGCCCATTGACTAAACATCGTAAAGGCAAAGAATATCTGAGAGGAGGCCAAGGAGGAAGTATTGAGTGGCTTTTAGACAGCGACCTGATTTGATGCATATGAACTTGATCTGAGAAATTGCTGGTTATTTTCTTCAGGGCCTGGTGACTCAAGTTAGGTCCAGCTCCACAGTGGGAGAGAGTGTCTGCCTGAAGCCTTGAGCTCTAGGTAACCTTGCAGTCTAAACAGATATAAATGGTAAATAACAAGAGGGAAGACAGAAGTGCAAAAGCAGCAACTTGTGCGGGGTCAGGTTGTGGACAGTGGCAGAGATGAGAACAGGACCCAGATCTCCTGTCGTTATTTGCTGTCTTATAAGAGGATCTGAATGGGCCCATTTTGCCTTGGGTTTTTTGAGGAGAACCTCTTTCTGTGTGTGCCAGTAACGCTGGGAACAGGGTTTGTGTATGAAACACTGGTTCATTTTCTTGGAGGGGGGATGTTAACTTCTGCAAAATGGGGTTTTCTTTAGAGCTTTATCCTGGGTGCAGGATCTCAGGATCAAAAGCTGTGCCTCAGCCGCTTCTACTGTCAAACAACTGAGGTAGTTGCTCACGCTTTCTGTGGCGTGCAGCTCAGAAATAAAAGCTTGCCTCTGCTTCCCCTCTGTCTCTGCAGGCACATTTCCTGTCATGGTGAACGAGAGGCATAATGGCAACCTGCTTGTGCACCTGGGACCCAAACTGCAGGCCTACCCGGAGGAGCTGCTCCGGCAGCGGCGAGGCCACGACGGCCAGCCTGAGTACCTGATCCAGTGGAGTATCGTCAGCTTGGAAGAGAGAGCAGTGGGGGGCAGCAGTGCCTCCTCTGCAGAGACCAAGCCGGAGAACATCTCGATGTGGATGTCTGCAGAAGAGGTCTGTGCCAGCTGCCCGGCGCTGCTGGGCAAGAGGAAGCTGGAAGGGCGGTGGGTGAAAGAGGAGAAGGCAGCCAGCCCGTTCGCTGCAGCTGTCCCGCTGGATGAAGCCTCGCTGCTGGAGATGAAGGCTGATGTCAGGAGCCTGGTGCAGCGAGCTGGCCGGCAGATGGCTGAAACCGGGGCCCCCGAGTCCTCCATTCTCAACACCATCCATGTGCTGAGCGCGTACGCCAGCATCGGCTCGCTGGCGGGTGCCTTCAAGGAGACGGGAGCCCTCGACTTGCTGATGAAGATGCTGTGCCACAAGGAGAAGCAAATCCGCCGCAGTGCTGGCAAGATGCTGAGGGCCCTGGCTTCACATGATGCAGGTGGGGGCTGCTACTGCTCCGTGCCACTGAGGAGGTGCTGCTGGGCAGCTGAGGGGTGCCAGTCCTTCTGTAGGTGTGGGATGCCTGGGAAGCAGTGTGTCTCGGGGCTTGTTGGCAAAAGGGGAAGAATCAGACTGGAGCTTCCCAGCGGCTCCTTGGCCGTAGTTGTGTGGGGTGCTCTAAGACTTGGGAGCTCTTTCCCCTGACAGGTTCCTGAGCTGGGATGCTGATTAACTGCTAGGAGGACTTATGCCAAGGGGCTTGGCAGAGTGTTGGGGTGTCTCTGCTGCATGCTGTCAGGTGGAAAGGCTCTGGCCTGTTCTTGGCAGGGAGCTGTTCCTCAGGCCCTGGTGGGTAGAGGCCTGGTCCTCACCCAGTCCTCTCATTTGAGAGGACCTGCCATGGCTTGGAAGGGGCTGCTGAGGGTTTGGGGAA